CCCACTGGGTTGGTTCAAGACCTTCCTTGATTGACTATACTTTAATCTCATGGAATTTGATTACTTCTGTACAAAAATTTTATTTAGAAAATCAACCTGATAGTGATCATCTTCCAAGCATTACGGTTATAAAAGCATTTGACAATTGCTTTTTGGAAACAGAACCCACCCTACTTTGGGGTTCAGACTCAGAGCTGAGGTTGGTTTGTGTTAAATGGACTCAGCACCTTAGTGAGCAAATTTCTCAGCTGCTTCTATCTGAAGTAGCACTGTGATTTTATGCCACTATAGTTAGAGGGAGGTCTGGGGATTCTCCTTTGCAGGCATTTACACAACTGATTCAGTTATTCCAGCCAGTGATTTCCACCCAGATATCAAGGAAAAGAGATAACCCAGGGGGCAGGACTTATTCTCCTCAGCCCTGGTTTGATGCAGAATGTTCTAGGGCCAGAAGTAATCTGATCAGGGAATTTAAGTTATATAAAGAGAACCCAGCTGAGAATTCCATCCAAGATTTTATGCTCTTGAAGAAACAATATAAACATCTTTTACAAAATAAGAAAAGAGAATTCACTAAGGCTTCTTGGCAGCAATTGATAACAGTATCTCAAGGCAGAAATTCTACTCTGTTCTGGCACCTGACAGCTTCCCATTCAATTGACAGGCCCCTTTTACTTCCCCACTTTTTATCTGCATCTGTGTGGGAAGACCATTTTAGAGCATTATATTCTCAAGAAGAGGCCCGTACAATTGATTTAGATCTTAGATCTCGATGTTAACCTGCTCCCTAATCAGGCTCCTGTTACAAATGCTGAAATAAAGAGGCTCATAAATCAGCTAAAGCCTGGTAAAGCCCCAGGCAATGACTTCATCACGCCCAAAATACTACGCAACAATTTGGAATGGTGGACCTGTTCTTGCTTCCCTGTTCACTTATATCGATCGCACTGCACAAATTCCAGAGGATTGGGGCCTAGCTATTATCGTGCCTATCTATAAAAAGGGCACCGGAGACCTGCCTGCTAATTATAGGCCCATTAGCTTGTTAAGCATAATAAGTAAGCTCTAGGCCAGACATTTATACAATAAATTAGTTGACTGGATTGACTCAGAGCATATATTGGCAGATGAGCAAGCAAGTTTCATGTCCAGATATTCTGTCTATGGACATACTTACACTCCTCTGGAAAGGGTTCAATCCAAATTCCTAAGGGCTATATTTCAGGTAGCTCCTTGCATTCCAAATGTAGTATTA